TTCCATGTCTCTGCCATTTCCATAACCAGTCACGACTATATTTAGTGTCTTCGTCGGGATCGGGAGGTCGGGGCGGATGGAAACGTATGATTGGTATCCGAGTGGTCGGTCCAGACGTCTCAATAGTATTCGTATCACTAGTATTCTTAGCGATTGTATCGTTGCTCTTGTCTGCCGGCGCCGACTCGACCGCTCGCTGGACACACATTACCATAAATATAAATGTGATTAAGAGGTGTGTATTCATGATTTACATTATCTCTTTATTAACACTGTTATTTAATTATATACATGTGATGATTGTCTGTATAATTATATTAATTTATTTAATATGTTTATAAATTGCATATGGTTGATTAATAAAAAGCTGTTTATAGATATTAAGTAACTAAAAATTGAGTATTATTTTATAATAAAAATATTGTGTCTAGCCAGTGCGTTCGTTACCATGCCCATAATGGGGCGTGAATTTTTGTCACCTTGATCATTTTTAACATAATTTTGCAAGCCTGATACTAGAGTATAAATTGCATTACGAAATTTGCCCTGGATTTACTCTAGACCGGACAACTAGGTTTTAGCATAATTGTAATCATTATTATTTAATGTCTAAAGTTTAGACTCTAAACTATGGATTAATAGTAGGGGAAGCTATGACTCTCAAAGACAACAATAATCGAGATAAACATTTATCTAAATAAGTGTTTTATTTAATTATATAATATATTTTTAACCACAATTCAGTATGAATAATGTGGTTTCTAGGATCGTTCGGCTCCTCCTCCCCAGCCCCCACCCTATGGGATTTAACATGGGATTTCATGTTAATCCTATGACATAGACTTATATATGTGTATTGTGTATAATATGTATACTATGAATTGTGTGCAGTTGTGGTGAATGTGGTGTCCGAGTGGTCATCCTTTTCGGTGCCAATGTTGAGCTCCAGTGCGGGCCATGGCTTGTGTTGATCACTATTGTGAATGTGTTGAGATTTATGGATGTGTTTTGCAGTTGTGATTATGGCTGGGGGTCTGGATGAGCAAGTTAACTCATGCCGACTTATAAAGTTATAATGAAAAATATGCTTTTCATTCAACTTTTAATGAACTTTTTATTAATTTATTTAAAACTATTATTTTAAACAATGAATTTTATTTGAATTTTTGGGCACAAATAGTGCGAACACACAAATCGTGTGTATTTTAATGTGAGTTTACATTTTTGTTTCGACTGAATCTATATGTTATAAGTTTGGGTCTTAAATAGGGTGACAATTGGGTCAATATAGCCTAAAATTCAAATGAATGAATTTCACAAATAATGGAAATATAAATTCTAGTTAAAAATTCATTTTACCTTTACAGATGTAATAAATTATTGATTTTTATTTATAATAAAATATTAAAGACATTAATATTTTATTTTATTTCATTAAAAAATTCAATAGAATATTCATAAAAAGTTATATATTATTATCACTAAAATTTATTGATGTACATACTTCAATATATTAGTTAATATATAAGTGAAATGTCATTTAAACTTCTTTCATTAAAAATTATATTATGATATAAATAAAGCAATGAATAGAAATTTTCATATTTACTAAATGTTTTTTATAAATTTTAATAGAAAATATTAATTAAAATTAACTATACAATAGATATTTTATCTTACAAATATTATTATTAAACATTTTGAGATGGAGTGCATTATAAACAGTATTTGGGTAAAAGATTTTCATTAAAACTCTTATCAAGATAACAATGATTTTATTAACGATTTCGGATTTGAAGTTATTAATCAAATATAAACTTACATTAAAAACCATAATATATTTTGTTATAATCAGTGGATTTATATATCAAATACACGACCAAACAGTGAATTACTTGTCGTACGAAATGATAAACGATATAAAATTTGACAGAAATAACAGTCATAACGCGTACGAAGTTTCAGCGACTGTTTGTCTCAATAAAAGTTATTATAATTTTGATAACAATTCAATCAATATATTTATTAGAAATATTGAATTAAAGTGCGCTGGATATGAATCGCTTCAGTGCCGGAACTTTAGTCCGGTGTATATCCGTCACCGGCCGGATATCAGTATTTGTCTTACATTCTTAAATCACCCTCATCATTTCTTACATTCATCACATACAAAATTACGTGTTATCATAAATGTAACTAATGTTAATAAATACGAGTTGGCATTACATTCACTGTACACTCCATCGCATTTCACCAATATGTTAACATTAACTTCACAAAATAATATTAATGTAATACAAATCGCCGCCAAACGGCAGACTCTTTTGCCCGCACCCTATCGTACGGACTGTCGGGACTATGAGAGCAATTGGCGGAAAGTCGGCGCCGACGGACAGAGTGTTGGTCCGAAATCGAGACACAAATGTATGTTAGATGTGATGAAACGTCTGGAGTATAAGACTTGTGGACACAATCTCTACTGGAATTCAACGATATTTACAAATAAAAAACAGTTAATAATCAATGAGACAAACAGTGATTGTGTTGTTTCAGCCAATTATACGTTATTATATAAGAAATGTCAGATTGAATGCAATCAATATATCACTGAAATAGGTGTTCATAATCACAATGAGGCAGGTCCCAATTCATCAATCAATATAAGTATTTTTGAATACAACACTTCAATAAAAATGATTTGGAATTTTTGTCCCAAAACTAATTTTATAGTATATCTGTCGACAATCGGAGGTCTGATAGGCATGTGGTGTGGATTCAGTGTGTATTCAATGATTGACTTATTTATATCTAAAGTAAAAACAAAAATCTATAGAAAACTAAATAGACGTCGGGCTAAATATGTTGAGTATAAAAAGTATCTGTATTTCTATCATTGCATAAAAACATTGACATTCATTGTGTGTTTTTATTTCTTATTTATTCAATCGAAAAGCATTTATCAAAATTATAACAAAAATAACATTAAATTCAACATTCAATTAGAAAATAAAGTTAGAATTCCCGGAATATGGATCAGGATTAGTTTGTGGGAGATTCACTTTAATGAGATGGAAAAGTACTACCCTGGTGTAATTAATACTATGAAGCAATTGAAAAAAACGGAACCTGATTTCGTGAAAAAATTTTACCAAAAACTGATTAATGGATTTCAACACTTAATTCTATCTAAGAATTCAATGTCTCTGTTTAAGCGTATTGTGTATGACTATAACAATACTCTAATTAATTGTTATTTTCAATTTGACCATGGTCGCAGACTAAAGTGCCCGCCACATGAGAATTCACTTGACATATCAAACAATGACATTGCAATACGACAATCATTTTTTATAAATATCACCGACAAATACTCTAACACAATGAGTCACTATTATTTAAAAAATCACCTTCAACGAATTGTTATTACATATCAAACGGACCATGTTAACAGTTACATCATAACTTTAATGTCAAATAAAGAACAAGGGTCTTTCATAAACACAAACTCCATGAATAATATAATATTTTCATCGCATTTCTACCGCCGGTTGAGAACCGATAGCTTTCGGTGTATAGAAAGTGAGCGACAATTAAATGCACACTTCGTTGACAGCGATTCTCGCGATTCCGTGTATTACCGGTGCGTTGCCTATCAATTGAATCAAACCTATGGCTGTCTTCCAATTGAGCACTACGAATATATAGTAACGATTACATATAATTTAAAGCACTATGGTTATCAATTTTGTCGGTTAAAACAAGTTCAGTATAATAAAACATTATTTGACCAAATTCATCCAAAATGTTGGATCAAATCAATCAATAATTTATGTGACTTTACAGCGTTTAATATTAATTTAATTAATAGCAAATCTAATATGAATCGCACCCAGATTAATTTAATACCTAATTATTATTTTGAACCAATAATCACTGAAGAGTTAGCAATGGATATCTGGCAACTGATCTATGATATCGGGGGCACTACTGGTATGTGGATCGGCATATCTGTGCTTTCAGTACCCAGTATTATAATGTTTATTTATATAACATTTAACACTATTTATAATTTTATTCGCAAACATTTCATTAACAGAGTTATGGAGTAAAGTAAATTGTAACATAATATTATTGTTATTATACAATATTTACTATACTTTCACAAGTATCTTACTTTCTCAAGATACTTACAAATGTGTTAAAAACTATGATTTGTTTAGAATAGTTTTTATGATTACTAGGTAAAACTTATTTAATAATTACTATCTCAATTTTCATTACTGTAATTTTATTATAAACAAGTTATTTAATTGATAGAAATGATTGTTTACCCATTTTTAACACTTATAAAGTACTATTCATTGAACATTTCTCACAACAATGTAGTGATTGAATTCAATACGAAATAAGTTATAAATCTATTCGTAAATCGAAATGTATTTATTAATAACTCGAAAACGTATCGAAAATATAAGTAAAACTCATTATAAAAATCTGTATGTGCGAACGTATAAACTAAAATAATTAATATATAATAATAAGTGACATGTATGATAGTTCAAGCTTAAATAATCTAAAACATAGACATTTAGACATTGAAAATGCAATTCACTATCTTTGTTTGTTTGAGACACAAACATATGTGTAATTAATTGATAATAGTTTTGTTAATGAATCCTATGCTTAATCCCATTGACGACAACGATATGTATTGTCTGTTTAATTATTATATTCTAAAATATATGTTCAGATTCTATATTAAATATAACATATTATGATAAATCTGTTTGTGAGTAATCATGTATTTTACTGTATATTATTATAAAGCAAAGATACACTTTTAAAAATATCCTTTCAATCTAGAATACAGAGTATTATAACTTTACTTATCGCATATTTTAATTGCTTATAATTAATAATGTTATTATTATAATTTATTACCAATATATAGAAAACCTATAAACATTGATTTATATTTACAAAATCAATTTATAAGAGCAGCGATTATTAACTAAACAAACAAATAAACAAAATTTTATTTATAAGTGTTTATATAATAAGATAAAGTATTTCCATTACAATTGACCAATATAATTTATTATTTTACAATAAAAAACAAATCATAATTAGGTTTATCGGGAAAAACCATTGATCACTAAATCACTAGTACTCGGCGATGGCTGTGGGAGGGATCTTAATGTTCTGGATCTCCTTCTCGATGATACCCTTCAGCAAATTGCCCAAAATCTGTCGCGTTTGGGGGTTAAACACGTTGACAAAAGCGTTGGCCAACGCGTTGACTAACGGGGTAAAGATCTTGAGCCCCGACACGTGAATCTTAACATTCTTGAGCTCATCGATGTTGAAGTCGTTGAGATGCATCTTCTGCTTGTCGTCGAGACCGACACCCAATTTCACGTCCAGATTGCCGATCGACACATCGAGGTTAACAGTGGCGTGAAATATGTTGAGCTTCATAACGCCGTGGAAATGCGCGGCCACATTGGCGTCGCCCACCTGGACGTGGGCCACAAACTTGCCCTTATCGGTGCCGATGTCGCAGTCGCCCGACCGGATCAGATGCGACAGCCCTTTGATCAGACCCTCGCTGATGTTCAACTGTCCTATTTTGTACACACGCCGTGACATTAGGGTTATTTTAATACATGGTATTTTTTATATGGGTTATGTTGGTATAGGGGGTGTGGGGGTGCATACCGTGCCACCAGGTGAGGGCAACTTTCTTGTCGAAGTGCAAGTGCTGGTCCGGGACGTGGAATGGGTCCAAATTGGCCCCGTATTTGGTCTTCACGACACCCAACAACTGGTCGATCAGTTTGTTAGCATTGCCCGGATCTGTGACTATTGGATTTAATGGCAATTTATGATTAGGTTTTGTGTTTTAATGGTTGCGCTGAAGACTTACATCCAAACCGAGCGCTCTCTACGCTCACGAAAGTGCCGATCAAAAGGAAACTCAAAATGTAGGCAAACATTGCTTTCCTTTACACTGTTTTCTGTAAATGTTTAAAATGTTTAAAACAATTATATTAAATGTTTAAAAAACATTATAATTAGTATTTATTATAAAACACTTACTTCTTATGCAAAGAATATGTGCGAAGAAGTGACCAAAAGAATGAAGTTTTTGTATTAAAAGTATCATATTTTTATAGGATTTAGGCTTATGGTTATATGATATCACCTTGTACATCTTATTAATCTATTGGTTTCGTAGAATATGATGATAATAATTGAATGTTAAGACCGGGCATGTGTTTATTATTTTCAATTTCCCAAACTATTACTTGAAAATCATTGAAACATCAAACTATCATTTAATTAGTGAACCACCAGAACTTCAACATAAATAAACTTATAATTAATACTAAAAATGTATTATTTATTCAATTTTGTAAATGGATTACAAACTCAACAATATAAAACATCATTATATATACATTTTATTAAAGATGTTGTAAATCTAGTTAAATATTAAACAATTATTGCTAACTCTAGGTGATTTTAAATTTGTTAGTCAGCCCTTCCACCTGTAATTATCGATGTGCTCTGAAATACATGTGTATTATAAAAGTCACGGGAGTTTTTGTTTTGAACAAAACTGTGTTTTTAAGTCCTGTTTTACATGTGATAAGACTTTTAATTGTACTAAACTTATGGTAAAAACTTAATTTAACAATAAAACCTTAAGGTTCATTGAAACAGCGTCTCTATTCACATGTCTTATAATAAGTACTACAGTATACTATCGAATATATAAAACAAAAATATCAAAAATCACATGATAATTATTAATTACATAATAATTTCTAATAAAATGTTTAAAAGACATTACTATTACAACAATTATACAAATCATACGTCCAATAGATTTACTAACTCTAAACGCGGTATTAATTGACTGATCGCTATATTCTGTCACAAAATTCTTGTATCCAAGAAATAGTTTTAAATTAATGAGAGTTTCATTGTTTGCGCCGTTTATTAATACATTAAATTAAGTGTCGGGACAGAATCACAACCAATATGAATCAAGGATTTTAAATATTCAAATTATCTATTTTTTGACCCATTAATGAAGTATTGTTGCGATAATCATACGGTTTAACTAAAACTACAGTAAAACCTCAAAACTAGAGCTAATAATTAATAGGAAAACAATTATTAAAAATTATATTAATTAATTTTTTGACCAAAAACAGCGGTATATTTGTGCTAAACTTGTTTTACAACAATACTAATACGAATGCATTAATTAATGCATTGATTTCTTTTAAAATATATTTTTTATGTCATATAAATATGAATTCAAAATTGTGATACGTTATGTTTATTGTTATAATTGAATACAAACATTATTCTCTATTTTCCAACTGTTATTACAATCTCTGCCATCAGTTCTTCACTTCTATGCAGAAAATGATTGCAATTATTGTATTTATTGTATCTTTAAATGCCATTCACTGCCAAACATCCGACAGTTTATGTGAATTAATAAAAACTAATGGCAGATATGAAGGCATACAAGTGTTCAGATCTAGTGATCAAAAGGCAACTGTTATGTATAAAAATGGTTATGACATTAGCAATAGATTCAGTGGAAGAGGTTATGATTGTTATGTCAGACCTCAGGTTATTATACATTGCCTTTGATTTTATTATAACATTTGTTAAACATTTACATGGATTTGAATTGATTTCAAAGGTTTCAAACGATGGCAAAATTGTGACCAATTGTTCCGATACTACCGTTGATGCGGACAATCAATACGAGCCCAAAGACATCATATTTCGGGCATTGAATGCAAGTGACAACCAATGGGTCGTCATTTACAACAAGAAATGGCGAAACATATCGTGTTATTCACCGCAAGAAATGACTCAAAAACTAGTGACCAATGAAACCAAATGCAGAGAATTGATTGGAGGAAATCAAACAGTCATCGAACTCATTGACCCATCGATTGTGAAGAGTATCGATGGTATCGTTAAGAACCCGTCGGGAAATGTAATCCACAGATACTATATATTGTACAGACGAGACGGACGGCCAGTCTTTTGCGACAAATCTATGTTCGACCCGAAGAATAGGGTAATAGTTATTAGCAATTATTGTATAAAAATTGTTAATTTAATTATAATTTGAGTGCAAATCAGAGACACACATAAAGGAAGAGAAGACTTTACCGAAAGATACAAAATAGAAAAGAAATAAGATCTCAAAAATTAAATGTTTTTTATTTATTATATTTTCTATTCCTATATATTCTATACATTTTGACACAATTTATGAATTCTATTGTGTTATTGAGAAATTATATATCTTTTGTTTATTAATTATTGACAGCTTTTTGTGTACTTTTTGAAATTTACTTGGAATTTATTTTTAATGCAATATAAATATTTCATATATTTGTATTATTTTTCTAATTAAAAACCATAACAATTATTACAATGTGATAATTGAATTTTATGTACACTTTGTCAAAACATCAAATTGGTACATAATTTGGTACAACGCATATTATGCCAAACAATGACCAATATTACAGTAATTAATTTGTACAGTTAAACTTTGGCTTGTGGTTAACATACCGGGCAATGATGTGTTCAAAGGGGACACTTTGGCCCCGTATGCGGGTTCGAGACCACCCAAGACTTTGTTGAATCGGATTATATTTCTTGTGTACAAACATTCGGGACATTTGAAACACATGAGACATTGGTTGCCAGTAGCGTTGCCAAACATACAGGAACTTCCTGTATTATACAGGAATTCTCACAGAATACAGGAAGAAATTTTCATTTACATTGCAGAATACAGGAATGAATTTTTTGAAAAATAAGCTGTAATACAGGAAAATACAGGAATTTTTGGCAATTTTTTTACATTTATACAGGATTTCCAAAAAATGATTTGGCAACGCTAGTTGCCAGTAGTTTACGAGAGGGACGGCTCAAGTTTAATCTCACATTAATAATGTGAGTAATTTGTTCTCAAATTCAATTTGGGACAACTCTTTGTCAGAAATCTATATCTGGCCAAAGAGTCGATTATTCAGATTAATTACAAACACAGGTTTGTTATATTTAATGGACTATTAAAGTTTATTAATTCATTATTTTTAATTTAATTTGGTTTCTGAATAGAAAACAAAATGTCGTTTTATAAATCGGAAAATTTTTGATCAAATATTTTGTGTACATTTTTCATAAAATACCAAATGAAATAGATTTAAAAATTCTATAAACTAAATTTTATAAAACTCGGATTCTAGTGCCCAGAGATGTAGACCTTATATTATAATCTAATAACTAATCTATTAAATGATAGACTAATCCCATATTTGTATAACAAATTCATAGAAAGGTCATTTTTACATTTATACCAATAAATTATTGGTAATAATACATGGTTTAAAACTCGCGTTATATTTATTGTTAAAATCAATTACAGAATTGTGCAAACATTTCAAACTGTTATTACAAACACTTTAACACAGAATATGATTGCAATTATTATATTAATTGTGTCTTTAAATGCCATTCACTGCCAAACAACCGAAAGTTTGTGTGAATTAATGAAAACTAATGGCAAATATGAAAGCATTCAAGTGTTCAAATCCAGTGCTCAAAAAGCAATTCTTATGTACAAAAATGGCTATCAATGGAAGATAACGATCGATGAATTTGGTATTCATTTGAATTCCAATAAATCTTCCATTGAATATGAAATTATCAACAGATTTAGTGGTAATGATTACGACTGTTATGTCAAATATCAGGTTATTATACATTGAATTTTATTTAACAAAACATTAGTTAAGCGTTTATATTGTATTTAATTCTTTAAAGTCCGTAAGCAATACCTCTATTGTGACCAATTGTTATTACGGCAATACTAAGCATAACAACACAGACAACGTTTCTAATTACGACCCCAAAGCTATTATATTTCGGGCGTCGAGTGATAGCACTAATGAATGGGTTGTCATTTACAGTAGGAAACGGTCACTCATATCGTGTTATTCACCGAATCAGAGCCCAAGTCTAGTGACCGATAAAACCAAATGCAAACAATTGATTGGACGAAATCAAACTGTTGTCGAAACTATCGACCCATCGATTGCCGACAGTATCGATGGTATCGTTGATATAAAGTCTTTTTTTGACAATACAATCATTGGTCACCACATATTCTTCAGACGAGACGGACGGCCAGTATTTTGCACCAAACGTTTGGACGACACGACGAAAACTGTATATTTTTATCGATTATTGTATAAAAATTGTTAATTTTATCATATGTTTAGTGCAAAGAGAAGGATGTGTTGCCGGACTGTTTCCCTCCGAGACCGTCGACGCCGTGGTATAAATCAAAGACTTTTATTGTAATCATTATTATCGTTACCATAATTGCAATTATTGTAATAATTGGCACCTGTTTTGCGATTCGCAAATATAATCCAGACTTATGTAAACATATAAATCATTTGATAATTTCTATAATAATTAACCAAATATTAACACGTTTTGAATGAAATAACCCTTTATTCCCAAAAATAGGGGAGAAGTTATCTAAGTCGTCGAGTCTTATATCCATTTCGACGGCAAAGCCCAGTATGTGTCGTGTATTTGATGTTTGAATCCATGTTTTGGTCACAAATAGATCACATTTTATACATTCATTCACTTACAGGCGAACCGAGCGATTCAATGCAGGCCTCGCAGTCATCCGCACAGCCGTCACAAACACCACAACAACCGGCGGTCACAGCACTGAAGGGAACGGACACTCAAACTTCTCAGACATCAACGACAAGTGGTATGTGTTTAGTGATTGACATCAATATTACAAATAATTAATTGTTTTAAATTCTAAGACACAACGACTCCATTGCGAGGGAGTGGTCGCGGAAGAGGTGTGTGTTTAGTGTTTAATATGAATATTTTAATCAATTAATGGATTTGTATTTTAATAATCCATTCATTCATTTCTAGCCCTGGAATCGCTTAAAAGGCTGAGAACATCAAATGTGAGTCCATTGGGTGCACCGCCGGTCCCAACAGTCGCCACAACCGGTGGTAAGCAATCGCCGGCACAACAGAGAGTCCCCAGTCCTG